AAACGTACGGAAGTATGTCGAAAGCTTGCTGGTTTGATTTATCATCAAGCAGGTTGATAAGATTCAAAACAGAGTCTTCTACGGTTGGTCGAATCTTAAACAGTTAAAGACATTCAAGGTGCTTTAATAAAAAAATATCAAAATTTCAACCTATTTTAAAAAGATTTATGAAGAAGTAAAAGCAGGAAAGCGAAAGACTTTCAATTATGAATTAAGCGATCAAGGACACCTAACAAATGTTGCACAATGTTCATCTTTACAAATTCATAATTAAAGATTCATCACAAAGGTTAATTACGTTCCGAATATGCCAAATTTACTGCGCCACAACCTCGTTAAATTCAGAGCAATGGCGTTCATAGACTTGAGTTTTTCTTTTGCAACTCATATTTAGAATTTTATGCTCCCTTATCTTCCTTTTACACAAGGAATTGGTATGAGTACTGTGTTCACTCCTTCAACTTCTCCGATGTTGTGAACAGCTGCTAATGATTAGGAATCAAAATGCACAACATCAATGCGCCTAGACCTTCGCACATAATCGAATGAACAGATGAAAAAACTCAGAAACGTTACCCAACCTTCTTCAATGAGCCTGCCGAAAAGGCAGGGCTAGAGATGGCTCGTAGTCGCTTCCATCTAACACCTTGAGACTCAAAAAGATGAACCCGAGCGTCGTTTTCAACGTCTCCAACAAGGGTGCTGCCCTAAGTGAGAATCGTTATCCTTATTGCAAAAAGGCAGAGTTGATGGTTTTAATCGTTTCCATCTAACATAATTGCTCTTGAAAACCGCAGTCACCTTTTCTTTAGAAAAAAACCCATGTCATTTTGTATGTAGGTGCAGGAGGTTTGCTGTAGAATATGATTAATCAAAATTAAGCAGCAAATCGTTTTCATTTGAACCGCTCAAGGCTACCAATCAAAACCTAGTCTCATAAATAATCAGAAGTTACGCTTTGCGCCGCTTAACATTCTCAAATTGCGGAGCCCAAAGATCAGTAATGTATCGATAAGTAATTAATCTTAGCTCATGCTCAGCTCACCTTGCGGCCATGGAAGTATTCAAACTTTTGCATAAATAATTCTCGGACCATGTTGATGTCGCTTGTGACCAGCGTTCTTCGAAGTCCTTCGTGGATACCGTACACCTTACCGTATTGCTGAACTTTGTCAAACTGTATTTTCAAAATAAGCTGTATTTCTACATTACAAATAAATAAATAAATAAATAAGTAAATAAATAAATAAATATATATATATGCATATATCTCTGTTGGAGCTGAATTTCTATGAAATGTATGTATGTGGGTGTGTATTATACATAGAAAATCCTAGAAAAAATTTCGAATATTGCAATATTTTGAAAAAAATAAATTTTTGAATATTCGAATTTTCGAATAATTCGGAAACCAAAAGTTTCGACCAGACGATTTTTCGAATAATTAGAATATTAGAATTTTATTCGAAGAATTATTCGTGAACTACTATTTTCAAATATTGGAATTTTCGAAAAAAAATTCAAGTCGAATATTCGAATTTTCGAAAAAGTATTCGAATATTTTATTCGAATACTTTTTGGACAACTATTTCTCATAGAAATTTTGCGTTCGAAATTCAATAATTCTAAGGAAATCACTAGCGCACTTTATCTGTTTGTATAGCCAACAATTCAGTAGGATTCATTCAATTCAACAGGTCAGGAACTGTTGAATTGAAAAGAACTATCTTGAAATCACGTTTAACAACTACTAACCTTTCCACCCTAAGACTTTCACTTCCATTTATGATCATGACACCCAATGACAATAATCCTATTGATTTTGAGGTCTTTTTTGAGACTGACATAGGTCACCTTCCAAAGCTGCTTAAGACAGGCTCAAGCTGGCTATGTCAGGACAAGTCCTTCATTGGCGATCATCCAAAATGTTTAATTCTCAAGCAGAACCTTGCCACATAGGCTATAACAGCTGAGTGAATTCGACACCATGATGTTTGTGTCAGAGCCTTCGTTTAGTAATGATGCTTATAACATAGTATAGCAACTCTAGCTCAGTTAAAACGCAGCTTATCAGAATAGAATTGAGGTGAAGCACCCAATTTCTCCGTTTTAGGAAGTCGCAGGTTCCACAACGTGGGTCCTGCAACAATGAGGATTTGAACAACGACATTTTTCGTACTATAACACGTTCGAATGTTCGAAAATCGGGGTTGTTCGAATATCCGAGTTCGGTGATCCGTCGAATATTCGAGTTTTCTGATAATTCGGAAGATTCGAATATTCGAATAATTGAATAGTTCGAAAATCGGAACCCTCGAATATTCAAATTTTCGGAGACCGGCTTGTAATAGGCTACTTTTTACTTCACTTGGCCGTCTGATGGCGTGCAGAATTTTTTGACCCGAATCACAATTTCAAGCGTAAAATAATGTCATGTATAGTTTGCGAGTGGACATACTTAAAAGCGGAATGAAAGCCATTTGAAAGGGACTATGAGAAAATGATAGTTGAGCAACCAACGAGTGCGCACTAATATTTTCGTTCACAATTGAAAGAACAAAGCTTCTTAAGCCATGCAGAGGTTTGTTGCTAGCTGTCATATGAGCATTCAGCTGCAGGTATAGGTACTTGACGCCGGATGGTGATGGAGGGGAGAGGGGGAGAGGAATTGGTGGAGTTACCTCGAAATACGCTCGCAACTTCAGCGCTGCCGCTTCCTCGCGTTTTTGGGACATAAGAGGCGCCGCGCCGGATTGAGTATTATAACAAGTCTTTATCGGGAACTGTCGATCACAGTTATGCAACCGGTACATTTGGCCGGATTTTCCATCTAAAAATACGTGCCAGAGCACTTGGTTCGCCTTTTTAATACGATCCAAATTGGCATATCATTCTAGAACTGTGCAGGTGCCTTCAGCTTTTCTCTAAATTATCAATTAAATTATTCGCATGTTTGCTTCTGTGGAAACACAGTGATCTCAAACGCAAGCATCTGATTATTTACTACATTTAGTTAGAAGAGACAGCAGTTTCAAATATTTGACTACGGGAAAAGGAGAGGAGGAGGACAAAACTGCTCGCAACTTAATGCACTTCCACTTATTCTTTAGAGTTGCATGTACATTAATCATTTTTCTCTTCAGTATGGTTCCGATTTTTAACGTTGCTAAATAATTCGATTTTACATGCGCCCACAACATACAAGTTTCAAGTGGACAGGGAGATACAGCATCAATAATCCTAAAGATGATGAGCATCAAAGACCCACTAAGGTGAAGTCTGGACGCTAGTCATCTCAGAGATTTTATGAAATCGAGCAAAGCCGGGTATGCCACTAGAATATATATTTAAATCATTCGCTTACCTTTCCCCATCTTTGCAACACGATTCCAACAGGTTCTGATCTATCTGTTAAAGAATGCATATTTCCTATAAAAATTATTCCTGGTGGACCTGGTATACCGCGCCGACTCCAGTAGGTTAGTTGCCATAGATAGTAGCTGCAAAAAAAACTTTGTCTTTTGTTTCTGACACAAGAAAGCTCGGAATGTAGGACTGCTTTATCAGAACGCAAGTTAACTGATAAACCATTTGATGAACTGATCATAACTGCAAAAACGAACCTGCTCACTTGAAATATTTACTAATATGAGTGACTGTTGTTGTAAAATCCTTGAAAGTTATTTCAACCTCCTCTACATGAATTTACATACTCATTTTAGATTTCAAGACTTCAAAATCTGATGTTAGACCTGATCAAAGAATTCAACTAAGCGAAGTATTTTATCTTTAAGTACTCGCAATACTATTGGCGCTAAACTCGAGAGTTATAACATCACTTCCGAGCCTTATAAACTACTGAGCTGTTCTAGTCGCTCAAAAGCAAGTAGATAAAAGTAGAGTATTATGTTTGATTCCGTTCAACTCGTAAATATTTTCTGAGTTCCATTTGCCTGCCCTTCAGCGATAAGCAAGCTATCTAATAAGAGATGTTGATGCAAGGTAAAAC